CATAATTAAGCAGTTGTAATTCATGTCTGTTGCGGGAAACTACTGCCGCACTTGCCCCAATCTGCAGCAGGGGCAAATCCGCGCAGCAGCACGGGCTTGGGGGAGTGGCGGGGGTGGGGGGGGATACCATTGGGAGTGGGGGGGGTGGTGGCCCGGGACCCGAGAGCATATATCCCTTTTGCAGCACGAGGTTTGCAGGTGACGCATGTTGACGCTGAGCTGCGGCAAAATTCGTGCGGGGCGGGCCCCCAGCGCTGCGGGCCCCGCTGTGCAGTGCAGTTTTTTCTTCTCACAATTCGTTGCAACGTGCAAGAACGGCGCCGCTCTCCCTCAAAAAAGCCGAAGAAAGGAGAGGGCGGTGTTCCAGATTGCTGCGCATGTATGAGGAGCGCCTCTCGCCCCGATCAGTCGGCTCGTCCCCCGCGCTTGCGCGGCCTGCGCTGGCGCGCGGAAGGGGGCGGGGCCCAAGGCAGGGCATGGCCATGGCCGCTATCGGCCACGTCGATGAGGCTCGGCTCGGCTCCCCGAGCTTCTGTGAGTCCTTGTTCCCCTCTAGACGCTTCGAGGCCCCTCGAAGCCAGGCGGGTGCCGTGGGCGCGTTGAAGCCTGTGCTAAGAGAGCAGGGAGTATAGCTGAGGAGCTCGCTCCAGCCGCCCTCTGCCACAGAGGCTTTCCGGATGTGTTGGGGCAACATGATTCTTCAGGGCTCCGAAGAGGAACCACGCTACTGGGTAGAACATACCCCAAACTCCTCTTCTAATTATATCCCCCCGAATTTAGGGTTGAGGGATTCGGATCTAGGGGCTTCGGTTTAGGGTTTGAGGTTTAGGGTTAAGGGTTTAGGTTTAGGGTTTAGGGTCTAGAGTTTAGGGTTTGAGGTTCAGAGTTTAGAGCTCCGAGGCGCCGTTTGTGCCGGCTCCCTTGATCTATCCCGGTATTCATGGCCGAAGCACAAAGAAGGATGGCCCATTCACTAGACTGTAGGAGAGCCTGCAGAAATCATACACAACATGTGTTTTCTCCCCTTCGGGGTGATCTTCGAGTTGAGTATGCCGAGCGGTGGGTGATACTCTGAGCCGCTTAGTCGAACTGTGCATACGTCAACAAGCTGCTTTCAGAGATGGCTTTAAAACTGAAGCATCACGTGAGCTTCCAAGCAGAACCGAAATCAGCAACGAACCCCCCCCCCTTGCACTCTGCGTCATCTATGGCGATCTGCACAGCCGGTATGCTGCTGTTTTTTCTGCTTCTCGGTTCTGGAGTATTTCTACCTTTGTCGGATCTGTCTCCTGATAGGAACCGCTATGAAGTAAACGTTCGATTTCTTATCCTTGGTTAATTGAACGCCCAGGTTTGTACCGACAAAGGCATGTCCCGGCAATTTGAGCGGTACGTGCCAGAGTTTTGCATCGGATTGCTGGGCCTTGGGGCCTCCCTTGGAACATTGCTTTTGCCAAGAGGGCTTTGCGCCCGAAGCCACAGCCTATTTCGAGCGTGACATCATGGGTGTATTCTATTACCAATGCTGTCCCAGCACTGGCACTGCTGCGGTGGGTTGCGAACCGCCAACACGCCATCTGCAGCAAGTACAAGTTATGTTGATTGCAGGTCTGGGTCATAGTTGGGTAACATTTTGCATATTTCTGCGTACTGACCAAGGAACATGAAACACTTTGACCCTACCTCAACCCTAAACACTAGAGGTGTTGTTCTCTTCTGTGCGGGTACGATCGGAATCCTGATCACCTTGGCTCCGCGGGCTCAAAGGAAACCTCTGTCATTGGATCCAGGGGACGAGAAGCTTCTCTCACCGGAGCTACAAGGTTCAGGGTTTAGGGTTTAGTACCCGTTTGAGTACAACTTAGGAACAGGGTACCATCATTATCGAAGCTCTAAGGGTACCCTTATTGTTAAGGCTCTTGGGGATTGTCAAGGAGATGGTGCCGCAATGCATCACGCAGTCCCGATGCACAGGTGGTGCGTGACTCTGGAAGATCTGCGCCAGTTCCGCCGACTTATCATGCATGCAGTGGCCCAGGGAGAGATACGCCCACACGCAAGGGACATGTTCGACAGTTCTGATTTGAGTATTGGACCTTCAGTTTACACGGTCACTGATCAGTTCATCAAGCCTGTGACCTCTCTTGCAGGCAAAATGAGCTGGGCCTTGCTAAAGAACCCAAGCGGTGTAGACTGTCATGTGTTTGTGACACACTGCTGGGCCGAGGGGATTTATGAGTTCATTGACAGGCTGGAGTACTCTTGGCCCGCTGGTGCAGAGGCTGCATATGTATGCTTCTTGTCCAACCCCCAGAACTTGGACATCTCCAGTTTGATCGCAAGCCCAAGTAGCTCACCATTTGCCTTAGCGCTGCGCTCGGCATCTGCGATGCTTGTCCTCCCAAATGCGACTGTGAGCATTTATACTCGGCTCTGGTGTGTATACGAAGCCTTCCTCGCTTACACGTGGGGGACGGTCATTAAAACAGCTGCTCTGGGTCATGATGGGCTTTGGCGCGATATTCTTCGGGCGATGTCCCTGTTTATCTTGGGTACAGGTGGCATCTGGATGATGTGGCTTTTGAGTGAAGGCTCTTGGTTAACCCACTACAAGCTCTTTCTGTTGGGCCCCGTGACTGTTGCAGCTCCAGTGATCGGGATTTGTGCGAACAAATTCTTTTTGCGTTGGCCGGTAGTCCTGCAGGAAACTTATTTTGCCATGATCATCATTCTCATTGGTATGTTCATGACCGAAATATTTACGAATGGCGTTCTTTATGCAGAAAACCGTTTCGTGGCAGCCTGGAACTCGCTATATTGGTTGTTTTGCCTCTTGATGTGTGGAGTGTTCGCAGCGGATTGGGCCCGCTTCAAAGATACGCGACGCCGTTCGGAAATGCTCCAGAACAAGTTCACTGGCAGATTGCTGGAAGCCCAATGTTCGGCTGATGCAGACAGAGCCAGCATCCATCACGAAGTGTTTGAGAGTGGCAAGTTGCACGAGGTGGAAGTGGCCGTCACTGGGTTCTGGTTAATCTAAGTTACCATAGTAAAGAAGCGCTACCTATTACCATAGATCCCTATTGTGGTAACTTAAATTCAGTTCCCAGGTCAACACTCTTCTGCGTGTGAACCTCCTGACGCCAGAGCTCCTAAGAGCTGCCGCTCTTGTCGGAGAGATCGGGGACAACTCGACCTGCCCACGGGCAACTGGGTAGGGAGCTTGTTTTATGTTCCATGGAAAATGATAGGGATCTATAGGCCATGATAGGGCCTGATAGGGTCTTGTTCGGCAACTCATTCTATGTTTCCATGATAATGATGGGGATCTATAGTGCATGGTAGGGCTTTCTTATCATGGTAGATATGTTCCTTAACAAGAGCGCAGGCAATTCCTCTGATGGCGTTAAGCTGCTGGTTCGTGATTCCCATTGATGCGCTGTTTTATCCACAGTTCCAGGGTCGTCTTCTTGAGCAGGTCCTGTTTGTCGTCATGTCGATAGAGGCAGCTTGCTGGATGGTCATGTTCAAGCGCTCGCCTCTAGACCGGCGTATCTTTGCCACTTATCCCCTTCCACTGTGGATTTTCTGCGAGGGTACGATTGTCGCGCTGCAGTATGTTGCTCCCTGGCCCTTGGCATATTCAGTGTGGATGTGGTATCCAAAGATTGCTGCCTTCTGTTTCGGCCCGTTCTGCCTGTTCATCTTGATTGCTGGGCCCATCCGCGTGGCTCATGTTCCCCTAGTTGGGCACATGCTTGTTCGAAGAGCACTTCGAGGGCGAATGTGCTCCCGGAAATATCTGGCTACAGCCAAACGTGATTCGTTGCGAGGCACGGCTGAGCCGCGCCCGAGCACGTCTACGTTCTCGATTTAGGGCCCGGTAACTCGGTGCCATAGCTCATCGCTGAAGCGATGGGCAGCCCTTCGTGCCAGAAAGCAGCAGCACGGCGTAACTTGTCCTGAGCGGAAATCGGGTTTGAGGCCGCTTGCATGATTGAAGCCTCGCAAGAGTTGCGACATCACTTGTGGCAGTTTCTAGTTCTAGTTTCTGAATCTGCTAGGTGAAGGGGAGGAGAAGCCTTCAAGGACACCTGTGCAGTTGTCAGATCGCCATATACGAGTGCGGGGGTTTGCCGGGGCGCAGAGGCGCTTGGTAAGCGTTCTTGTTGCGTAGCCTGAATGGCACTCGTTTAGCACCTATACATTCAGGAGGAATTAGGATGGTAAAGGGTCGCAGTATGTGAAGCGAACGCGATGATAAGTAATGAATACTGATCTTCCAGAGAAAGAACAACAACTTCAGCATTGGCTGCGAGCCAAATACATGCCTCTCTGTGCTTTGCTATGCTTTGCTTGTCACGAGAGGACAGGATGCATTACGGGCTGGAGCCCCAGACGTCTCGAGCCTTCCGTCCTCAGAGACCAAGTGGGACACCCGAGTGTCAGGCGTGCACATCACGGTTGTTCGGTCTAGGCCGCAGGGTGATGTGATTCCTGGAGAGAAGAAGCCTGTAACGAAGTAGAGTGCAGGCAGACATGGTGCCTGGGAAGAGGCAACCCTCCTGTTGTGCTGCCTGCGGTTTGGAACTAGATCTTCCCGAAGAATCGGCGTGACCGTTTTGGCTCAGCACGGAAACACGCATTGAAGCCTTTCACCGCTAGAGCGGCGTCGCCGGAGGCAGGGAATGGCGAAGGGTGTGGAGCCCTTGCGACTGTCCGCGTGTCCGCGTGAAGGCCATGGCTGCTGGTCAAGAGCAAGAGCCTTTGGATGCCGCGATCCTCAGAAAGGAGAGGAGGAGAAAGGAGAGGAGGGGGACGCCTTGAGCCATGGAGCGAGCGCCGCGCCTGCTCAGGTGGCCAAGGCCGAGGCCGCGAAGGGGAAGAAGAAGGACGGGGACGTCTCGGAGGGAGTCCGGCGGGGGCGGGAAAAGCGGGGGCGACGTGTCCCTCAGGCAGGTGCCAAGGGTGCTGCAACTGCGAAGGCGGCAGGACAGCCATCAAAGAAAGGCTCCGGTTTTAAAGCAATCCTGCCTGAGCTTCCTGCCAGGAGGTCCGATCTTCATGCCCCCGCAGGCGCAGGCCCTGAGACAGAAAAAAGAGAGTATAAAAAAGAGTGCTCTCTGCTTGACAGGCACAGGTGCTTCAGCCCACGGTGCAGGTTCCTGCAGTGCTTTATCCCTGTCTGCATTGAGATCTTGAGACACCTGCGAGGTGCCTCGGCGCTTCCCTGGACACTTCATGCCGCATCGGCACCTCGGCTCAAAACATCCATAAGGGGTGGGCAAAAGGGGCGTGTTTTTCCTTGACCGTGCTTCCCTGCCCGCAGGCTCTGCAACCACTGGAATCTGCAGGGCTGGTGCAAAAAGGCCGAGGCACAAGGAAACAAAGCGAAGGGTGGAGACTGAGTAGACCAAGACTCTGATCCTTTCGTTGCCTTGCTCCGTCTGGACTCGCGCAGACCTGCACCTTTGCGCACGGGATCGAGGAGCTGCATCCAGATGCCCGGGCACTCGGCATCTGAGAAACGGATTCCTTGGGAAAAAGAAAGAAGATCATTTGGCTTCGAGGTTCAAGCACAGCTGCTCCAGCAGAAGTTGCGTGCTCGGCAGAAGCAGGGCTCGCAACTGGTGACTGCCGCGACTGCCCACTGCCTCAGGCCGGGCATGCCACCACCAACGGCCCGCTGCTCTGCTTGTGTTCTTATGCCTCGCAGCCGCCCTCGCAGCGAGGTAACCAAGGACGGCCGCTTGGTCGTCGGCCGCACAGGAACGGTATGATCATTGCCGCTGTGCAGTCAAAGTCTGCTCAGGTGCACGGTGTCAGCACAGTGTCAAAGCCTGCTGGGAAGGCAGGCAAGTCCTGCAACACTCCTCCTTTTCGTCGCTCTTGCGCTTGGTGTGAGCAGTACTGAGGTGTCAACTGAAACAGCAGTGGGTCCGGTTCTGAATGTGCCAGGTCATAACGGCAAGTGCTGGTGTATGGGTCCCATCTTGCATAGGTTATCCGACGGCCCAGATGCAGTCGGCCCTTGCATCGCTCTATGGTGCACAAGCGAACTCACTGCTCGGCTCAGGCCTGTCCAACCCTGTCACTTGGCCCTTGGGGCTTTTTTCTGCGTCAGGCACTACCACCCTTAGCCCTTTTGCTTCGGTGACCAACTTCCCTTTCAACCTGACCCCAGGCTCGGGGGAGAAGGCAGAAGAAGAATCCGAGACTCATCTGGGCTTTCCTGAGGCACGCAAGCTCTTCTGCCGCAACTCTCGCAGCCCGGCCTCTCGGACGTGAAGGCCCCGAACGGGCCAGTGCCAGCGCTGCGCCGGAGGGGACGGGCTTCGATCGCTGAGCATTTGCCCCCCCAAACCCTTCCCTTCCCTTCCTCAGTGCTTCTCTTCGATCCGGTCGTCGCTACACGCACATGGCTGTTTTGATGACTGGGTCGTTGCCAGCCCTTCTTGTTCTGCACACGCGACTGTTTGCGAGATTGTTGGATCGGTGCCAGGAGTTCGCCGTGCAAAGCACAGAAGCACACGGTTTATCATTCTCTTTCGACTCTGTGAGAACAATTTTCACAAGTTGAGCCTGTAAAAGATGCGGCAAAGGAAGGGATCATGCAGGAGGGTGCTAGGGCTGCTAGGGGTTGAGGCTTAGGGTTCAGGGCCGAGGAGTTGGGGTCTCAGGTCTTCGGATTTGGGGTATAGCTCCTCAGAGCCTCGCCAGGAGAACCTGAGCGAGCCAGAGGCGGGCCGCCTGCGGGTGTGGGGCCCAAGGGCCCCCAAAGCCCTCCTTTTCTGTCTCTCCGAGGATGGGCTCTGCTCCAGCTCACCCGGCCAGCGCCCCGGATCCGCGCAAGATCGGCTTCCGCGCCGCCGCGGCGGCCTCCGCGCAGCGGCCCTACTCGCGAGGAACCCCAAGCAAGCGTGTGACGGGCCGTCCGGCACCAGCACCTCTATCGCCCTACTGGCGTGATTTGCCCTGTGTCTTGTTCCTGTCGAAGTTTGCCCCTCGAAGGCTCGATGATATCTCTCCTGCAGATGGCCAAGCAATGATGGTTCGACCACTGGTGTCCCCGAGTGTAAAGGCCTTAGGCAAAGGCGACTCTCTGCTGTCTTGCAGCTTTGATGCTTGAGGTTGCGGCTCATTATACAACGATCAGGCTGCTTGCCCTGCCCTTGAGCTGTGTTTTCAGCGGGTCCTGAGCCCCAACCTACATAGAAGCGATGGCATCCATGCTGCCACGGCATCTCTGGCAGGACCCAGCCGATGGCTTCGCAGGGGCCTCAAAGTCTACTGTGGACTCCTTTGTGTTGGCATGAATCGAGGCCCATGCGCGTTCCCCTGGTGTCTAGGCACTTGGGAGAAGTCCTGCTGTCGCCGCCGTTAGCCCTTCTGCGTCGCTGTCTTCAGGCCGCTCCCTTCTCCGATTTCAACCGGGACTCCGACGGCTGGCGCGATGCACCTGCCTCAGCAGAAGCAAAAACATGGATGGAAAGCCGAACTTAGCCAGGTCCAACACTGCGACATCTGCTGTGGCCTCGTGTCAGCTCAGAAGCTTCGTGCAGTGCTCTGAACTTGCAGGTGGCCATGGCTGCGATCTCAACGCCCAAGGCCGTGCCAGTCCATGCCCCAGAGTCCTAGAGGAGTTTTAGAGGAGTCCTAGAGGAGTCCCAGAGACTCGGAAGTCTGCCCTGCGATGTCTTTGCACGGCGCACAGGTACCATCGCTGACCAGTCCCGCGAGGGTGCGCCTGCGCATGCCTGCGCCATTCTCCGCCCTCCCGAGCATATGCAAGCATGAATCTCGCACGCAAGATTCATGGAGGTCACCGCGCACTTTAGCGTGCGCACGCCCACAAGCGGCCTCGTATGGCTCCTCGGCAACTACCAGATGCTGCCTGTGACCGCAACAAACTGCAGAGCCTAGGCCGGGCTCGCCAACCAAAGTGTCGCTGGCTCAATAGCAAAAAACGAGAATCCTCGCGCGGGGTTCCTTTTTGCGGCCCGGGCAGCCCGGGCAGCGCGGTGCCCAGGATCTCGCCATCCGCCCAGCCAGCGACACCCGAAGTGGCCCCAGCTAAGCAGCCAGAACGTAATCAGAGAATGGCCCGAGACTTCTTGTGGCCCGGCTGAGGTTCCGATTGACAGGAGCACACTGCTTCAGGCGAGACAGGTCGCAGTTCGGCTGGATCAGGGCCCTCCAGGACTGACACGTCACGTGTCTGAGGAGCCTTGTTTGGAATTTCTTAAGTCCCTTCCGCGAGTCCGACAGGACTAGCAATGTCCTGCACTGAAAGTATTGCTCATCTCTGCACATCTGTGCACTGTCTCTTCCCCAAGCGCGTCTCTAAGCGTAAGGTGGGCACCCACACCGACGACGAAGGTCCCCCAACCGTTCGCGGATTCGCGCTGCCAACAATTAGGTCCAGAGCGTGTAGTGATGCTTCCCTGCAGGCGGGTGCTTTGGGCTTCCGCTATCCTGCACCAGGCACAAAGCGCTCACTCCTCACTTCTGCAGTCTCCCGCAGTGCCAGTCAGGATATGTGTCTGTGGCACCAAGAACACCAGGAGGAGCGTGAAGCTTCATGTACAGTTGCAACGTGTTTCGCATCGTGCTTTATAAGCGCGTTGTGTCTGGTCGTCCATGGCTAACTTTCAATTTGGCTGATGTGTTGAACTCCGGCACGTGCAGACTGTACCATTTGTGCTGCAAGTACTCAGACTCTGCAGCATGAACTTTTGCTTTATCCCTTGTGGTTATGTACCTGGCATTGAGCACCGTACCCCGAAAAGCACAACTAGCAAAGAAGTTGCTCAATCCAGGTATGGCAAAGGGTGCAAATAGCACTCTTGCTGACACTGCCCTTGTATGCAGCCACTGATGCTGATGCTGAGTTGCTGGTTATGTCACGAATCATGATAGGGATGTTGCAGTTTGATTTGCTCCGCTGTCTTTGTGCCCTGATGGAACTTTTAATTCCAAGTACGAACGGTACTATTTAGGAACCTCGGCACCTTGGTGTGCTTGGACAGCGCCATTGAAGCTTGGCCTGTCTCCTGGCAAAGCCCTGCCTTACCGTTTGACCCAAGCGTTTGCTAATGCTTGCTCTCACTCTTCAGACTCTGGAAGGACACGAGTTGGGTCAAATCTGGGGCTTTTTGGCCAGATGCATGTCTTATTTGCATGTCGACTAGTTATGCTCAACGGCTCTTGGACCGTGGAAGTTTTCTCTCCCATCCATTGAGGATGTGGAATCAATGAATCAAACTGCGAGCGGGATTCGTCAACCGTTTGCCACAGCGCGGAGAAAAAGGCTGGAATAGACATCGGTGGCGCAGGGCACCGGGAAGCTCGCGAGCCGCTGTAGGCTCTCGGCATTCTGCAAGATCTCCAGAGCCGTGGGTTCCAGATGGATGCGGTTCTCTGCTTCTTGGCAGATGAATTCCAACATCCTGATAAATACAAGCTTACATGCCTGCTATTTTCCCCTGAACCGTAAATTTCCTACGTTTAAAATAAGCCGCAGCACCTGCATGGTGCTCCCCCTAGCAGAAATTAGGAGTTGCGTCAAGGTAAGGCAGGTGTTAGACATGTCAAAAGACAAGAGTTCTGATTAGTCGAGACGCATTAAAGCTGCTTTCTCTTCTGTAGCTAGGTCTGTCCGTTGCTCGTGTTGCAAGCTCGCGGAACCGTATCCTGTCTATGAAGACATGCATAAGCTTTCATCCCTCTTAGGTAGAGGAGGTGCCTTGCTTCCTGAAGCCTCGCTGTGCATCGAAGCACTTTCATTTCCTGGTGAGACAAGAAAAGATAAGAAAAGCAGTTCTAAAAAGAAGCTGTTCTCCACATAATCATTGATCAAATGTCATTGAAACATGCTCTCATATTCCTCCCATGGAAGTGAAGGAGCTGACTTCCTCGTTTCTATTGGAGGGGGCTTTGGTGTTGGTTTCGTGCATTTGCAATCCAGGACAATCGTGAATCGGGAATCTTGGAGCTTGGATCCTGGCCCGAATTCCGGAACGAGAGTGGATGATGATATGATTTCGATGGCCAGTTGTTTTTTTTTTGGTGTTGTTGTGGGCGGGGGGAGGGCAACTCAAACCCTGCATGTACATATAGTCTTTCTTTCAGCCTGCAGGTTTGCATGAATGCATTGCTGCATACCGCCGTATGCAGAAGTGCATGTATCTATGCACATATGTATGTGTTTATGTGTGCCCATATGTATGTATGTATGTATGTATGTATGTATGTATGTATGTATGTATGTATGTATGTATGTGAGAATACTGGGGCAGAGCACCGATGCTGTCGCCGGCATTCAAAGGTGCCCCCTACCTGAATGGCTTTGCTCCTCCTCGGAGGTCGGCTGCTCATGAGAGATCTTTAATCAGTCCGATCGCGCCATCTCCGCTGCTGCGAGGAACCTCCCCGGAGTTTCGCGTTGAAATTCGTTGCTGAACAGTTGGCGGAGGAACTAGAATGTCCGGCTCCTTCAGAGCAGGAATCTCCCAGGGGCTCCAAAGATCCGGAGGAAGTCGTTCCGGATACAACGCCGTACATCCTCCAGCTTGGGGCCTTGGCGATTGTGGTAGGGCCTGTTGTCTCTCACTTTATGGCATTCGGTTGTGGTGCTTATTGGCGCAGGGGAACTCAGACCGAAGTTTCCCTGTCTGCTGGGCATGGCCGACGGCGGGGCGGGGGTGTTCTGGAACTTCCGGCCGGCAGAAAGCGGTGGTGTTCTACAAGGATGTTACGGTTTGGCACGAACGCAGTGTGCTGCTTCGGGGTGAAGCCGGGACACTCCTGGATTTATACGACCTCCGAGGGCGAGCGCAGGATGGTCCGGACAGAGTTGGGTTGCGTGCCCTCCCCGTCTTGCGGACCGCAATGCAGCGTTTCAATCAGGAATGGCTTGAGGGAAGATCCCCAACTTTTTCTGGTCGTACGTTCCCCCATACCATACAAAGTCTATGAGGGTGCGAAGTTCATGAGCAACCTTGTCACGGTGTACGATGGAGTGCTTTCTCATCTACAGCTCCAACCAAGCCTTAGGCTCCCCTCCGTGGCGCAACATGTGCTTGATAGTGTACATGGCAATTTGACGGTTTTGGTGTGGCCAATCCCGGCGGAAAGTGTCGGTGCTGCAATGCTGCTGCAATCCTGTGTTTTCCACTTTGCTCATCATCAGCACCCAAAGAGTCCGAACGTCTTCGCGAGCAGTCTTTTCCTCGCTCGCCCAACATATTGATGCCCGAGGGTCCTTAGATAATTGGCCAGCTTCCACATCGATGAGCCCCGGTCGCACCTCTCTCAGCCGAGAGGCCTTCCAAGTTCCTGCAAGGGCATCCTCTACCCACTGGACTCGGATCCATAAACCATTTCTGCAAACGACGCCGTCTGCACCTCCAAGATGCAGATCCTTGGCACCCGATGGGTGCACCACTGTCCTGTGATGTTTTCTCGAACCTGACCGTGGGCCTGTCTGCGAAAATTGCGAAACTACCTCGGGGTGGCGCGCCGACGGTTGAGGCCTTCCGGGCTGGGGTTGCCGGCGGCACTGCTCGCTGGCCGTGGCCACCTTGATGCGTTGTTCGTGCTAGCTCCATTTGGCCCCGAACTTGCAGTACCCCCATGCGAACAAACGGCACTGCTAACGCTGCTGGTTCTGTTGGTGTTGACCTGCACAGAGTCGCCTTTGTGGTCGCCTTTCTTGCCCTTCTCTGCGCCCTTGGTGGGATGGTCCGGAGGAGCCCAGCGCGACAAGCATCCTCTGTGCTGTGGTGACGGGCGCGACCGCTTCGGCGAAGGTGCTGTGCGAACAGAGCACCATCGCCTCCTTCCAGTAGAGGCGGACTTGAGGGAACTCCTAAAGGTTGTCGCGAACCAAGTCCTGCAACCAAACCGAAGTAATCCGCGACGACAGCGTTTGGACCCCATCGTGCGAACATACAGTAACGGCGAACTTGTTCGCTTCCAGAGGGTCGGCAGCACCGTGGCGACCTTAGAGAGGGTCTCGACCTCGCCGGTGAGCAGCTTCGGACATTGGGCTTGGTCGTTGAAAAGTAAGGGTCAGGGTTCACCTGCTTCGAAGCTGTAGAGTGTTGTCTTGTCTTCGAATTCTCCGCGACCATGCGACCCAGCATCTTTTCGGCCCCCACCAAGATTTGGTCAGGGGATTTTCGAGGGCGACCGTCCACTGTCACCGACTCGTAGTCGGCTACAAAGTCGTTCCGGTAACCTTGTGGGAGCTCCAGTGACCGTCGTGCTGGTCGTGGCGGAGCTTGTTGCTGGTGCTGGCGCTGGGGCTGGAAAGGGCGGATTTTGGGGATTTCGATCACATCCAAATGTGGCCGGTCTATGAGGAGCTCGTCTGCTGATCTCCTCCTCGTCTCTCCGTTGAGTTCGATTCCAGCTCTCTCGATAAAAGTCCTGCAGTTTGGACTTGTCCGCGAACAGGTGGTGGAGTACTCCCGGAACGTCGACTCCACGAGCTTTGAAAAACATTCTCAAAGGGGAACTAAGGCCGTGCCCGAATCGGCTCACCGCGATGCTGCCATCGTCATGCCCGCATATTCCTCTGACTTGTGTGTCACCGCGCAAAAGGTGCATTGCATATGTATGTATGTATGTATGTATGTATGTATGTATGTATGTACGTTTTTGTATGCATGTAATTACGCATGTAGTTGGTATGATCTATGTCTGTATTGTTGGGATTGGGAGCAGAAGGCCGCAGGCTCCGCCCACAGACCTGAAAAGAACAGAGGGCGACAAACCCTAAACTCGATAAGGGGCCACTCAACGTTTAGCCTAATTTCCTGGGTGTCGATGCTGATGCTAAGCACCCGCTTCGATCCCTTGAATGTATTTCTTCGGTCTTTGAAGTCGAAATCACACCAGGCAGTGGCCTCTGTCGCGTGTTGGCCCGGCATGTGCTTGGAACACCAAGTCGCTGCGCCCTTTCTTCTTTCACGGTGCGGCTAGGTGCGAGAGCTCGCAGCGATGGGATGTGGCGCATCTGGGCTTGCATTCCAAGAAAGCAGTTTCGGCAAGGACCATTTAAGACTTCGGAAGGCAAAAAAGCAAGGGAAGCTTTGCTGGCCGCCGATTATTTGCCTTTCGTTAATAAACCCTTCCATTCATTGGCCTTATTCTTGGAGCACTGCCAAGACCTTTCGCAAGTACGTCTGGTGCGTTGAAGGTTGGTGAGCAGCGGGACAGGGTAAACAACCCTCTTGACCATACTCGATTGCTTGGCATTCCGTGATCATGCTTGACCGAAAACGTATCTTTGGAACTGAGCTGAAATGAGTTACCTTGCTTCTCGCCGTGTTCATTTTCCTGGATGATGTGTCGAAAGCTACCGAATGCCAAAGATTGGCAGCTGTGCACTGGCCGTAGAGGCTCTTTGTGCTCGAAGAGCACTTCACACTGCTGGATGCCATCGCTTGCACGGCGCCGCGCCCTGCGCCTGCGAGCCGCGTTGTGCGGCTCTTTCTCGCTTTCGGCTTGCCCGCCAGGCGCTGATGCGCCTGCTGGGCGCCGCGAAGCAGTGGCGCCGCTGCCTCGAGG